GGGGGAGGAGTTGAGTCAGTGTCCTGGGGCTGGGAGGAGGGTGTTTGCTTTGCCCACTGGGTGCCTGCCAGGCCCTGAACTGGGTGCTTTCATATTAGCATATTTGATTCTTTAAGGTTGGTGGTAGGTAACAGCCCCATCAAAAGAGATGAAGAAGCTGAGCTGTGGAGAAGTGACGTGACATGCCCCAGGTGACACAGTTGGTCCCTGACTGAGCCAGGGTTTGTATCCAAGTCTGTCCTAGTTTTCTTTCCCGGGAGAGATAAGACTTGTCCACAGTTGCTCTGCTGTATGTGGCAGCGTGTGTGGAGCAAGGGTAAGGCTGCTAGAAGCAGTATGTCCAGTGCTTGGAGGAGGGACAGCATGTTCCTGATGGCAGGAGGAAGGCTTCCCAAAGGAGATGTCCTCCTGTGATTGTAGGACTTTGTCAGGTGGAGGTTTGCTGGGGAGGATACAGCAGTATGGGTGCAGGCTGGTGGTCATGTTAGGGAAATAGTGTGAGCATAAAGAAGGGCTGAGAAGGACGGCCTTCAAGCTGGGGAAAGCAGTTTGGGCTTTGGTCGGGGCAGTAGGGGAGCCACCAAAGGCTTGGGAGCAGAGGAAGCTCATGATCACCACTAACAAATGCATTAGGGCTGTGTACTGTGGCTCACACCTCTAATCCTAGGCACTTTGGAAGTCTGAGGTCAGAGAATCACTTGAGGTCAGGAGTTCAAGAGCAAGACCCTGTCTCTGCCAAAAAATAGAAAAATCACATCTGTAATCCTAATGCTCTAGGATGCTGAGGTGGGTGAATTGTTTGAGCTCAGGAGTTCAAGACCAGCCTAAGCAATAGCAAGACCTCTATCTCTACTAAAAATAGAAAAACTGAGGCAAGAGGATCTCTTGAGCCCAAGAGCTTGAGGTTGTTATGAGCTATGACACCACAGCACTCTATTCAGGGCACCAGAATGAGACTCTGTCTCAAAAACAAAAAAAAAATCAGCTGGGCATGGTGGCATGCACCTGTAGCCCCAGCCGCTCAGGAGGCTGAGGTACAAGGATCGCTTGAGCCTAGGAGCTTGAGATTGCAGTGAACTATAATGACACCAGTGCCTTCTACCCCAGCAACAGAATGAGACCTTGTCTCAAATAAAACCACAAAGTAACCAAAAAAACCCTAAAAAAGTGTTCACCAGGTTCAGCCTGGCTGCCATTCAGAGCTGAGCCTGCTCCAAGCTATACCTAGGTCACTACAAAGTTTTGAGACAGACTTTGTTATGGTCCATTATTTCACTTCTAAGAAACACAGTTGACAGTGTCCTTTCTTATTCACCTGTGCAAGTTGCAACTTGCTCTGCTTATCAGAGTTGCTGGGAGGGCTTCATTTGTTTCTGTTTTTATATTTTTTATTTTTGTGCATCTTCAAACTTATGTAATTATCCACATACACCCTTGTCTTTTCCCCACATACAGCAGTGGCACAGGTGTGTGAGTGGGTGACTGCTTAGAGGCTCTGGGGCACTGGTGAAGCTGGGGTGGAGCCTGGGGTCAGGATCTTATCTCCCCCTTTGCCTTAGCCTGGGTACAGCTTTACTCCTGGAGCCTCATTTCCCAGCCAGCCACTGCCGGGCATCAAATTATATACCTGTTCACTTGTTTACTGTCTGTCTCTTTCCTAAGATCCACAAGGGCAGGGGCCTTGGCTCTCCTTTTCAACTGATTTCCTGGCCTAGAAGAGTGCCTGGTGCTTTTAAAAAGTTCTATTTTTGGCTCGGCGCCTATAGCTCAACAGGCTGAGGCGCCAGCCACGTACACCTAAGGTGGCGGGTTCGAATCCCCAGCCCGGACCCGCCAAACAACAATGATGGCTGCAACCAAAAAAATGGCCAGGCGT